TTTTCTTTATTGAAACTTTATATTGTTTAGTTCTTTTATGAATGATGTCACTTTGAAGGTTGTGACTTTTCATAGAAAGATGTGTTTGTATGTTTTGTATAAACATGACCGTTCATGAACGAACGTATTAATATATTTGTCTATAATGAGGTGAACCAACCGATGAACATGATCAAAATCTATTGCAAGTTGGATTTGTTTCATGAATGAAGGTGCTATAATTTGCATATCATATAGACATATGAATGAATAGCATACAAATGCTTGAAAATGGCGGAATGATTACGAAATGTATTATATATTAAAAGGTTGTGGCCACAACTGATGCCAATCATTCCAGCTGTTGTTATAATTACTACATTAAGTGTAGTTAATAATCTGATATGCAATCGAAAGTCGAGACGTATTAGTCTACAACATAAGGAAGTTTGCATTGAACGTTCATGACAATGAAACGAGTTTTGAAGTATACTCCAAATTATGTTTTGCACTACAATAAGTATCTCGCGATAATAGAGGGGTATAGTGATGAAAATTAGATCACCGGTTCAACCGATTCTAAACAGTCGGTGGATGAACGATGTATTGGAAATCGTCCAAACAAATGTGCATTGATCGATCTACAGTGGAGACTGAGTTTATAGCCTTAGACAAGGCCGGTGAAGAAGCTAATGGCTCCGGAATTTCTTGAAAGATATTCTATTTTTGCCCAATCTTTTGGCACCTATATGTATAAATTGTGATAGTCAAGCGACAATAGGAAGGGCTAGGAGCGTTATGTATAACGAAAGTCTCGTCACATAAGACGCAGACATAGAACCGTTAGACAACTACTTTCTAGTGGAATTATCACAATTGATTATGTAAAATCAAAGGATAATGTGGCGGATCCGCTTACAAAAGGCCTAACTAGAGAGGGAGTTGAGAAATCATCCAAGGGAATGGGACTATGGCCGAGGACAAGTCATCATGGCGGTAACTCTACCTAGATTTTTGGAGGTCCGAGATCTAGGTTCAAGGAGCGCAAACAAAGTTATGCATGACCGGTTCAACATGGTCAAATATAATATTTTAGTCCATTCTCATGATAAAGACAATGTTCAGTAACAAGGATAAAATGTTAAGACATTTTGTAATGGTTTCTAAGTTTGATACATGGTATATCAAATAGTGTATCTACGGGATAACACATTTAGGAATCACCTATGTAAGTGTGAAGTGTAAGCCGCTTCAAGGAGAATTCTGTAAGGCCAGTTCTTTACGCACTTATGAACCAGGTGGTGTTCATGGCTAAAACGAACACAACAATGAGAACCAAAGACGGTTAAGGGTTGATTGTGTGACTTATGGTTGTCTAGGTATACACCAAAGCTCGACGGTTCAAAGATATCAAATCTACCGATTGACTGAGTATATCCGACATAAGTTCACTACGGAAAGTTCAAAGGGAAACCTACTTATCCAGATGCGATTAATCCTTACTTGCGAATCACACAGTATTTTCATGCATATTTTTCACATATGTCCATTCCCCATTCATGTGGGGGATTGTTGCATTTTTTTCTTTAAAGGGTGTGAATGGGAAATGGAAGAGGCACCTTTTGGATTACACCTCTCCATCTCACCCTTCCTTTGTCTATAAATTTAGAGGCTTTGCCTCATTTTTAATATAGGAAAAAAAAATCTGAAAATTTCTCCCCTCTTTTCTATTTTGCATTATTTTCAAATAAACATAAGCGTCAAGTGTGATTTGCTCAGTCTGTTGAGTTTGCTGAAATTCTGTAATTTCAATTGCCAGTATTGCAGAATAATTATTCCGTTCTATCCTGGGAGGAATTAATCCGAAACCTTGGGCAACAGTGAGGGGATTAAATTCCATAAGGACACACAAGCAACTTGTGGGCTTGGAATTATTTTTTCTGTTTTGTTTATTAAACTAATGTTTCTCTGCTTCTTTGATTTTCTGATTTTGAACGCAATAATACTAACAGCTATTACATTTTCCTCTAAAATCTCTTCCTATCTCTCTCTCTTTCTTTTCTTCTCTTTACATTTCTTCTTCACAACTCCATAGTTGAACTCTCGAGTCCTCAAACTCCTGAACAGCTGCTCGATCCTCGAATTCCTTGCTGAATTCCTGCAATTGAGTAACACACCATTGCGATAAAACTCTATCAGAATGCTATTTGTAAAACTCAATCGGTGAAAAAGATTGTTAACGCGCGCGATTTGTAAAACGCAATCAATGGATGCTACTTATAAGACTGTAATACTCATTACAAAAAAAAGAGTAATTAAGTAATTTACAAAAAAAAAATAAACAAAAAAACACAAAAAAAGCTAAAATAGGGGCAAAGCCCTACGCTAACAAAAACAAAAGAATGAGGGGGGCAAGCAACTTTGCTCGGCAGAAGCAAAACGGTCAGAGGCGATCAAAAGCAACCACAAGTGAGTTTACTATGTTCTAGCAAAGAGATTTACAAAGAAAGAGAACAAGCTAGGTAATTAAATTCTAAAACTTTTCCATGGTAATCTGATTCCTTTACTTAATACTTAGCACGCGATTAGCTATTACTTCGTAAACTAAGGGAAGAAACAACAAAATTCAAGTTACTTTTAATCTAGTACACAATGGGATTTTATATACATGATTCTTATAGGGCTGAGTAGATATAATTATGGAATTGGATTGAGACTTTGAAAGTTAATTTAAGGAAATTGGGAGAAATTCATGAGATTTTTCCGTGAATTAACTAGGTATATCATATGAATAGGTTGTATTTAATAGATTTTGAAGTATTCTAAACTACCAGTGGCGTGCGTAAGTATAAATTGATGAATTAGGAGTCAAACATGAAACCCAAGGGTTTGGATATTCTAAAGTACCTATGAATTAGCTAAAACAAGAAAATTAACACAAGACCGATGTTGATGTGGTTATAGATTGATTGAAGAAAGTCTTACGGATCGCTATCGGTGACGAGTTTGGTATTTCGACACGAGTAATATGAGTAATAATCTTACCACAATTTGTGTTTTCATAACATGCATGGTTTATACATTATTTTAAAAATAAAATGTGTTATCGAATGTTTGAAATTATATGTGGGACAAGTCCTTTACTTGATGTGGTACTGAATAGTATACTTGAGATGTTTACAGTTATTTAATATGTTCTCACTGTTACTAGATATGTTTTACTGTTACTTAAGATATGATTATCGTTGCCGAAATTGGGTTACATGATTTGATAAGAATTGAAATGCACTGTACTATTTGAAAATGCTTTCATGTGAATATTTACTGTTTACAAAGAAAAGTATAAATGGGAGGAGACTTTAAAGGATCTCGTCGCTAACGGCGGGTTCGTTAGACCTGGTGCACCTTGTATTTACCGATTACCGAGTACCATTATAGCCCTCGCTAGTGGAAAAGTAGAACTAGCATACAGTTATAGTTTTGCCTCGAGTAGGGACTTACAGTAATATTTGACTCCTTTTATGAAAGGGTCCACACAATGATATAGATTACATGATCCTTTCTTGGAAATACTCCCAAACATAAAGATTTTCTATGAGACGGTGTTTACCGAGGTTAATACTGATTTGTTAAATTGATTTCTGTTACAGGAAACACATGAATAGACTGATTATATTCACTGTTTGAGAGGGCAATTTATTTTTGTGATAGTTTCAACCTATTATTATAGAGGCATGCTTTCTGACTTGTCCCCATTAAAAACGGTTGTGTTTAAGTATTATTACTTATTGAGCTAGCGACTCACTCCCCACTACTGTTTTTACAGAGACAGCAGTAGACGTAGGCGAGGATTCCGTTAGTTAGAGTTCACAAGTTGACAGTTCCTGGTGAGCCCCGCATTTATTCGTGTGGGCAAAGATTGTTATTTATTTGTTACAGTCTCTTTCCGAAACTCTTAGAGTCGCTCCATAGCCATTTTTATGAGTGTCACAAGTATTCTTTTATTGATATAGACTTGTGACTCGTAGAGATGAAGTTAGTATTATTGTATTGGAAATACTTCGTGAATGCGGATTATAACTTGTTTGGTGGATATTGGTAGGTTGTGTTGTTGATTTCTAAGACATGTTTATTTTTGGATAGTCCTAAAACAAGGGAAACTCTGTCCGATTTTCTGTAAATTGCCGATAAGGCTTACTTGGAAGCACTTGCTCCTAAGCGTCAGTCACGACCCAAATGCTATTTATAAATCATGCAGTTGGGCATAATAAAACGCAATATTCAATTAGATTACAAAACTATCAGTCAATGCTTTATAAAATGCAATCAGAGAATGCGATTTATAATATGCAATCGATGCGTTTTATAAATCGCTTTCGGTACCGTAATTGCGATCAATAAATTCAAGCAGTGAACTGGACATATCAATAATTAGCAACTTGTTGCTTGTGCTATTGTTATTTGGTAAAAGGATAAAAACCTTATGGAAACTTACGAACACTTCTCATTTATTTTAATACATTTTTCCCTTTGTATAGGGTACAAGACATGGCATGAAAGGGCAATCAAACCAACTTTCTAACAAACTTGAGAAGTTTTCAAATTTTATCCTCTATTCAATTTCTTTTTAAACTTCTTATTTTGAAGGTCCATTTGAAAGGTCTAAGAGTTCTGGACGTATTATCCCTTGTGGGACATCCGATCCCCCTCACACTCAAACTTCCAACCAATCAGCTTTGAAATTTCAAACTTCACAAACGGGTTGGAATTTTGAACTGCCAAAACCTAACTTCTGACTCAAAGTTTTGGTTTTGGTGGATCAAGCCTTCAGGTACGAGGTTATGCCATTTTGGGTATGAAGAAGCAGGAGGTCCTGGAGGTGGGAGGGAGGAGCAGACTGAAGTTTGCCAAAACTGGCTAAACTTTAAATAGTTTTTTCCAAAAACTGGATACGTTTTAAATAAAGGTGCTAAAAGTGGCTACCCGGTGCAATATCTACCTTCTTTTTTGAGACATAAATATTTGAAAAACAACCATATTCAATGATTTGTCATCTTATTCATCAAGTACTTCATGTGCATATACATAAGTAAGCTAAAAAAGTTAACCAGGTCCCGCTCCCAAGGTTCACTTGATATTTTAGTAAGAAACATAGCAGAAAGACAGGGTAAGGCTGCGTACAATAGACCCTTGTGTCCGGCCCTTCCCCGGACCCCGCGCATAACGGGAGCTTAGTGCACCGGGCTGCCCTTTTGCCCTTTAAACATAGCAGTTGATGACTTGAGGGCAGATTCAAGAACTGTATAAGGGCTCTGGATCTACATTTCTTCTAATCCTAAAACATTTTCCAAAAACAAAAGCAGCATGTAAGTTGGATCATAACTAGAAAAACACTGCATAGTAGCTATTGATTCAATAAGCATGCCTGCTTTTGGTAAGAATATTTTCCGAGTTTCTCTATGAATGAAAGCTACATGTCAGCAAATAGGTCCATTTATATAAACTATCATCCTACTTATCCTTTTCCACCCCCATCCTGTCACAATCCAAGGGAGGAAAATACTCAATTTCCAAAATCTAAGAAGTTATATTGGACGGGGCCTGATACTATGACATATTATATAAATTAAATGATTTCTCATATGTAAGAAATTACATGTGATCCATTCAGATGGAGATCTAATGTTGACTAAGAAAAATTAAGGTAAACCTGCATTCCGAACAATCTTAATCTTTGCTTTAACTTTACAACTTGAAGATTAAGAGTATCTAGCCATATCATAAAAGATATTAGTTAATAATTTTCAAGAGTCGGAAGAGGAGATCTGCACACTTTAGTACCAGTTTTAGAGGTTAGAAGTATAAAACAATTAAATAGGTTCCAACTAGATGATCAAACAAATAAATGTGCCATGCAATAGACTCGAAGTGGAGATGTAGCTATTACAAAGGGCAGTCCCCTATGCGGATCTGGGAACAGGTCAAACCACATTGGGTCTATCGTATGCCGTAAGGGTGTTCATGGTTCGGTTTGGATCGGTTTTTCCCTAAAAGGAAACCAAACCAAGTAAGTCGGTTTTTCAAATATTAGAACCGAACCAAACCAATTAAGTCGGTTTTTCTCGATTCGGTTTATGTCGGTTTTTCGATTTTTTCGGTTATTTGTCGATTTTTTCTTAAATATAAGACATACACTACTAAACAAATATTTCGGCGATCACATTTTCAATGTAACACTTTCAAATCAATTGCCCTTTGAGAAATCTATTATTTACCAAGATATATTGATGATAATTAAATCAAATAGTGATGAATAATTTAAGGACTCAATTAAAAATATGTTATTTTAACACGAAATAGATTCTTACACTAAACAAAAGAAAACTACCAATCAAACTAGAATGTAAAGGTAAAGAACTATATTAAAAGTGCAAACTATTAACATTTACCATAAAAAATTTGAAACTTTGTATAACAATATACATATATATAGGTGTAATAATAAATTTAAAATAGCTACTCCTATAGTCGGTTTGGTTCGGTTTTTTTCTGATTAAAACCAAAACCAAACCAAACCAAAAAGTATCGATTTTGTTGGTCGGTTTGGTTTGGTTTTCAGTTTGGTTCGGTTTTTCGGGTTTTTATGAACACCCCTAGTATGCAGTATTACCTTGCAAATATTGCTTTCTAAAAAGGATCTATAGAAGTTCCCCATGTAGTTTTCAGTAATTCAGAACCATGAAAAATGATGTGCTAATACCTATACTAAGCTGTAATGTTGAGAACAACTTTGCGGAATTCCTAATAATCTACAAGTCACCCTGCACACACTGTATGAACCTTAGCCACTTCCGTATTAGACATTAGCGGTCCTTCCTGATAATTACAGTTATAGCATGACTCTGCTGCTTTACCTCTCAGTAAAATATGGCATTAAGAATCAAGAAACAGAGAAAATTAAACACAAAACCCTGGCCACTCACCAATTGTCTTCTGCCCATTTGCAGCCATTAGTATCCACCACATGCAAACTGTATGCATGTCGTGACTTTGAAGACTGGTTCTCAAAACTGCTATCATCCATTGAAAAGATTGAATGGATAAAAAACATTCCAAACAAGCCAAATACAAATGATAGCATAACTGGCAGTTCTATATGGTCTCAGAGAAGTTCTGGAAGTGACTGACCTCTGGTGAATAAGATCTCCGTGAATGACTACCAAAGAACCAGCTTTTACTTCAAGCGGAACGAAATCTTTCTGGTTATAACATGGAGATGGCTTATCAAAGTGAACCCCATTTTCATCTCTAAGGAATCTCCTCACAAGGCCATCTAAAGAAATAGAACATTATGTATGTTATATGAAGGAATTCAATGATTTAAAGGTAGCAAGGCAAAGTAGAGTTGGGAAAGCAATACCTTTGTGGGACCCTGGTATAGCCCAGAGACAGCCATTTACATTTGTTGCATCCTCTAAAGCCAGCCACAAGCCAGTGCACGTTGTTGGTTCAGTGTACAGAAAAGAGTTATCCTGGTGCGGCACAACTTCACCCCCAATACCTGGTTGCTGAGAAGCAAAGTTTTACATGTCACTAGCAGAAGGATGGATAATAGTAACTACAACTACCTTAGGGGTTTTACTTCTTTTCTGCAATTTGTTCAATTGCAAAGAGTGCGGTGACCACTGACCCCACATATACAGGAAAACACGCCTCCTCTACGATGTTATCATAGTATTAGAGACAATTGAGAAACCATTTTCAAAGGGATACGAGGATATGCACCACTAAAGAGCACTTATTAGTTCACTCCACCATAGTGAGGATTTTTAAAGTGACAAGATGTGCACATGGTATGGATGCATGCTTGGATAACACGAGCGAGGTGATGTGACATGAGCAAAATTATTTAACTTCAAGAACTAATATGCTGTTCGGTACATGATTCATCCAAATAATACAAATAGTAGCTAGGAATATTGGGGTTACTAAGTATGTAATTTGGGATCAACAAGTTGACTATGAAATCACATGCTCCATCAATTCCATTTTATGTGGCAGGGTATGGACTAAGAGTAGGGGTGGAAAGTGGTTGGGGCCGGGCCCTAAACGGGCCTAACGGGCCTGTCTCGTGGGCCGCAGCCTCAGTCCTTAAATAAACGGGCTAAACGGTCTTTTTTTAGGAACCGGCCCGGGACCGTGCCCATGAACTCATGGTCCCGGGCTAAACGGGCCGGACCTGCGGTCCCAACGGGCTAAATGGGCCCAACGGCTAAGCAGAGATTTTTTTAAAAAAAATAAATAGAAATTAGAGACAAAAAGATGTTTAAAAAATATCTAAAGCAATGCCTTGTAATTTATTATGGAATTGTGACCTAATTTTTAATTCAAATTTAAAAACAAAAATATTGTAAAAAGATATTCAAAGCAATGCCTTATAATTTTACTATAGCAATAAAAAACATAGCAATATCTTTCTTAGTTTTCCTCCCCCCTATGGAATAAGCACAACAAGGTGCTAATACCACCATTGAGGAGGAACATCAGTGTCGCTAAATTGTAATAAACTATTATCGGTATCAAGAATAGCAGGTGTAGGACGGGTATGGGGCTTGGTTCGGGGAGCCCGGGGCAGGGGAGGAGGAACAGCAGTACCACTAGATTCGCTAGCCTTGGATTTTCCCTTACTTATTTTTACCAAAAATGTTTCTTAAGGAAGACATCTTAATTAAAGTAATAGCAAATAAATAAAACAAACAAAACTATAATGTTAAGACTTAAGAGTTGGAAAGAGTTTACCGAATTGACGAACAACTTGTTGAAAATTGATTATTGTTGAAGACTTCAATTCACCAACTTCACAATTTTTTCACAAATTGTAACAACCTCACAATTTTTTTGATAAAGTAAATAATTGTAGCAAGTATAGAAGAAAATTAGAGAAAAATTTTGATAGATTGATATTGATTTTGTAAGAAAATGAAAGAATGAAGGGATATTTATATTAGAAAATAGGAAAAAAGTGTAATAATAAAAAGTATGGAGTTAAAACTAAGTTGGGAGGGTTAAATGGCTATTTTTTAAATAGCCAACTGCTATTTTTTAAACCCCCAACAGCTCTTTTTTTCAAAAGCCAAACGGCTATTTTTTTTTTAAAAAAAAATCTGTTGGGCCTGCCACCATGTTTCCTAGGTTAGAAAGGACTATTACCAATGTAAACTGGTACCCGGATCCAATGGAACAGTGATAGAGGACTGGAAAGTAGGAAAGTAGAAATGTAGAAGGACCCAAACGGGGGATGCATGTCCAGTGGGGTTAGTTTTTGTTCTGTTGTTTGCATGTACATATTTTACATGGTAAGTAAAGTCAATTAATTACTAAAAAAAAATATATCCGTTGGGCCCGTTTGGCCCGCCAAGAGACCAGGACCGCTTGGCGGGCCAAACGGGCCTGGTCCTAACCGTTCCTAGCTAAGAACCGGCCCACGAGCCCACCTCTAGCGGTCCTAACGGTCCCAGCCCACTTAGCCCGCGGGCCCGGGCCGACCCACTTGCCACTATTAACTAAGAGGATCAGACTACTTACTTTTTGCTTTGGATTCATACACCAACTCTTCAAGTTATTCGACAAGAATTAATATATTTAAAAGCAATACAAAAACTACGATAAGTTACAATAGTTAATAATTCAAAATACGTAAGAAAATATTCAAGAAAATCGTGATCAAAGAAGAACCTCTTTGGCTCCCCAAATAGTAACAGTGCCACATAAAGTGGAACGGAGGGAGTAAGATTCAAGTACTAAACATAGACAGATAAGAACCTTATAAAAAAAATACAGACAGATAAGAAAAGAAAACTCAAATGGCAAATCAATGGTTTATAAATATAAATATAGGAAAATCTTATCTATTTATGTAGTTAGAAGACCAATTCATGTGCATAAAGTCATAATAATGCGACATTTGCTTTACATCATGGATAGTATCTTAGATCAAACTTTTTAGCAGTTAATATCTCAAACGGGAATCCTTGAACAGCTAAGGAAATCAGCATCATAAGTTAAACAGTATTTTATACAGAGTCATCATGTTATTTGGAGAAGTGTAAGAACTTCAAAGATCCTACATATCGCCATGTATTAGGTTAATATGACAATCATTACAGAATTTGGGTCTATTAGGGAGAAAATGTTATGGAGTAAATTAGAAAGCACACATGGTAACATGAAGTAATTCTTATTGGTGTTTATTTTCTTTAATACTCTTTGTCATGGCACAGATAGAAGTTTCAATCCAAGATCACTGCATTAGAGTAGGAGGTTCTACCTATGTATAGACACTAGCTTTTACAATCAAGTACCAAAGATTCAACCTAAACATTCAAGCTTCATCCAGTTATTAGGAATTGGCAAGTGATAGCAGAAGATAAGAGGAAAAAGAGAAACAGGAAATATTAAATAAGCACATGATTAGGTCCCTTCAGGGACATCTGATAAAATTGGAAGACACAGAGAGATTAGCATGGCCTCGACACAAGGATGACATGCAAAAATCGAGAAATGGTCCCAATTTTATATTTTAAAAAATAGCACATGCTTAGATGCTTGAATTCATGTAAGTAGAAAATCTAGAAAAGCTAAAAACCCAGTCAAAGGAGAACAAATTGCTTTCAAAGTATTTGGGGTAGATCCAGATAGGTATGCGAGAATTTGTTATGTATGAATTGTCTATACCTTCTTGTATACAGGATCCAACACCCTGGGATGCTTTTCCTTTAGATAATTTTATTGACCCTGTTAAATAAAAAATTCGAGCTTTCTTCCGCACGCTAAGTCCAGAAAAAACGTCACTTTTCAACTGGGATACATTCTAGCCTTATTAAGACACCAATTTTCTAGAATGACACTCACAACTAATGCATCAGCAGCTGATATTGAACAACCAGGGATTGGACACGATTTAGCCAAAGGATTGTATAAAAGACTTGGGGCAGAGAAACCTCATAACTGGATAAAACAGTACCAGTATTTACCTTGAATATGTACATTGACTGAATGACTACTGGCCTTTGGTAACCCAACGAACGCAGCATGCCTGAGACTTTGTCCGAGCTAGAGAACTTATTAAATACAGGATCTTTCTCATGAAGAGCTGCAGCAACAGCACAGGTCAAAGAAATCAAAATGAAACAACTCTTTTGACAATAAGTAATGAACAGAAGATTACCATGCCCAACTTTATTTATTGAGAGCTGCTTTGGCTGCTTTAAGTTGCCATCTTCATCAAATGCTTTCTCTGCCAAGACCACAAACATCAACTTAGAAGCCTATAAAAGGAAAGGAAAGTTATGGACACAGATGCAACAACAACAACAACAAATCCAGCGAAATCCTACAAGTGGGGTCTGGGGAGGGCATAGTGTACGCAGACGTAACCCCTACCTTATGAAAGTAGAGAGGCTATTTCCGAAAGACCCTCGGCTCAAGAACAGAGAAAACGAAGCAATAAACAAACAATAGCAACAACAAGGTAATAAGACAGCGGAAGCAATGGACACAGATGCAAATTACTAAAAAGCAGGATCAGAAATTTAAAATCCAAAATATCATCAATTTAAGAGAAGCATATATACCTTCCCAGAAGAATGAAATCTTCTCAGCACTTTCAAAGAAGTGGTCATTAGTCGTTTGTTGCTGAAAAAAAAACACAATTTGGGGGGTGTTAAGCACAAAACCAATTAAACGAAAGTATTTGAGGTAAAAAAAAATTGAATATTTACTTGGTTCTTGGTAGAGAAAATAGAAGCAGTGGAAGAGCAATCAAACTCATCAAGCAGCTGTTCCATTCTCTTCCTAAGGGACTCAATCTCTGCAGGGTTTGCAAATGATTCTAACAACAAATACCCTGTATTGTGTTGCATTCAAATCACATAACTGTTACATCATCAAATTACACACTAGTTAGTTAAAACATAGATGAGATTACCATTAGAGTCGAAGAACTGAAGCTGCTCTGAACTCAGGTTTCCTCCTTCAATACCCATCTTTGACCTTTCCGTCTGAGCTTCCCTCGGTGCCGTAAAAGAGTTGGTAGAATTCTATGACGTGTTGACGTGGTATTTTCTCTGAGAATTTATAGAGCTAATACGCAAATTACTTTAAGTTTGGTACTAAAATGTAAAGTCAAGAATTATCTTCAGGGTCCCGCATGCTTACAATATTTCATGATGTACCCTGCTAGGCACATTGATAGACAAATGCAAAAATCCTCGAACATTAGAGTTATCTTTAGATGATCGCAAAGAAATTTAAAAAGAAATATGAAATAGGGAAAAAAAACATTGAGTCCGAAACATAAATGGCAAGTTTTTTGGACTTAAAATATGTTTATACAATTTTAAAAAAAAATTATTTTTCTACCTAAAACGCAGTATTATACTGCGTTTTATTTAACGAAATTTTAGTCATTAAAGTAAAGCGCAGTATAATACTGCGTTTTTGCATAAAGCACAGTATTATACTGCGTTTTGCTTATTAAACTTTAAACACCCCCCCTCTTCCCCACGACAGAAAATTCCACTCAACCTCCATTAACAAATCCCAACAGCGGTCACCCCCCCCCCCCCCATCCCCAAAACCCGATTTTAAAAAAAAAAATCGAGTGGACCCCAAAGTGAAGATTGTAGGTCCCGCATACAACCCAAGCTTTCGATTGTTGTGGTTTCTTCATTTCGGGCTCAAAATTTTAATTTTTCGACTTTTCTAAAAACATAAATCGAGGTATTCCGATTTAGTTTATGTCGAAACTCGTATAATAATGCATATTAGTTGTCTTGAATGTGTTTCCACGTTGTTTTGTTGTTTTGTTTGCGTAATTAAATTTGTATGTTTATTTTAGTCCGGAATTAAATTATTAGTTAAGTTTAAAAAAATAAGTTAAAAGTTGAGAAATAACTTTTCTTGTTAATAAAAATGTTCATAAATTCTTTTACTGTTTTATATATAATTTCGTGAATGTTATGTTAATAAAATATGATTGTTGTTTTTATTTAGTTTAGGTTATTTATTTGCTTAAAGAATAGTGCCCTATTAGCGTAGTAAAATATAAAGCCTTATAGCTTAGTAAAATATAGAGCCTTTTAGCGTAGTAAAATATAGAGCCTTTTAGCGTAGAATCTCTGTAGTTTAAGTATCTACTAACTACAAACTCTATCCAATTACACTTTACAAAAATTAATTATTTAATTTATAAAACAAACACACAGAACTAACAAATTAATATATGGTGTCAAAATTCTAAAAATATTGAAATTGACACACATAAGAATTCAGGATAGCTTGGTGCTACTGGGCCTCAAATATAGAGCCTGAAACCCATGGATATTTACTCTGTCCAATTAAATAATTAAATATTAATTATTATAACACAAATAAAATTCTAAAAATATTGAAATTGAGACACATAAGAATTCATGATAGCTTGGTGCTACTGGGCCTCAAATATCGAGCCTGGAACCCATGGATATTTACTCTGTCTAATTAAATAATTAAGTATTAATTATTATAACACAAATAAAATTCTAAAAATATTAAAATTGACACACATAAGAATTCAGGATAGCTTGGTGCTACTGGACCTCAAATATCGAGTCTGGAACCCATGGATATTTACTCTGTCCAATTAAATAATTAAATATTAATTATTATAACACAAATAAAATTCTGAAAATATTGAAATTGAAACATAAGAATTCAGGATAGCTTGGTGCTACTGGGCCTCAAATATCGAGTCTGGTACCCATAGATATTTACTCTATCCAATTAAATAATTAAATATTAATTATTATAACATAAATAAAATTCTAAAAATATTGAAATTGACACACATAAGAATTCAGGATAGCTTGGTGCTACTGGGCCTCAAATATCGAGCCTGGAACCCATGGATATTTACTCTGTCTAATTAAATAATTAAGTATTAATTATTATAACACAAATAAAATTCTAAAAATATTAAAATTGACACACATANGCCTGGCATGAGATCAATGCCGAAGTCTATGATTCTTTCGGGAGGAAGTCCCGGGAAGGTCATCTGGGAAAACTTCTGGAAATTCTCTAACAACTGGCACTAACTGAAGAGCTGGTGGTTCTGATTCTGGATTAATAATGTGAGCCAAATAGGCGAGACACCCCTTACCGATCATCCGTTGTGGCTTAAGGTAAGAAATAAACTTACCTACAAGCGATGCTGAACTACACTTCCACTCTAAGACTTCTTCATTCGGAAATTGGAACCTGACTATCTTGGCATGACAATCTAACATGGCATAGCAGGAAGATAACCCATCCATACCCATGATCACATCAAAATCCACCATTTCTAACTCTATGAGATCGGCTTTGGTGTTGCGACCTTGGACTGAAACTATACAACCTCTATAGACTCTGGTGACTTTCACTGACTCTCCAACTGGAGTAGATACTAGGAACGGCTCACTAAGTTGTTCAGGTTCTAGTCCGAGGTTAATTGCAAAGCATGGAGTCACATATGAAAACGTTGAACCTGGATCCATTATGGCATAAGCATTATGTGAGCAGACTAAAAGTATACCTGTAATAACTTATGCAGATGCCTCTGCACTCTGACGATCAAGTGTAGCAAACAAACGGGGTTGTCCCCCTCCCTGAGTAACTCGATCTGCACCTTTGCCTGCTCCATGCCCGGTCTGATTATAAGAACCACGAGCCTAAGGTGGTGCAACTGCAGTAGCTGAGGAACTAGAAGGACGAGTTGATCCACCACTGAAATTACGTCGCAACTTTGGGCAGTTGGCCTTTATATGACCAGTGTCTCCACAATGGTAGCAACCATGAAACCCGAGCTTGCACTGACCTGAATGTTACCGCTTACATGTTCCACAAAGACCTTGTTGGTGTGAATGTTGCTCAGCATGACTCTGGCTATGTGAGGATGATGTCCTAAAATTCTGATTCTGGCGAGACTGATTTCCATTTCTCTGAGTACGTCTGAAGGAAGACCCACCACCTGACTGATAACCGGACTGAGCTGGTGCTAACGACTCCTTATTAGAGGAATCCCTTCCACCTCCACTGGATGTACCATTAAACCTGCCCGTTGTCCGAGCTTTCTTGTTATGCTCTTTTTCTTCTCTCCTTTGTTGTCTGTCTTTTTCTAAGTGCTTGGCAAACCCCACAACAGAGGAGTAGACTGTCATCCCTACTGCTGCAGCTAATGTCGTATCCTTAATGTGGTAAGCTAAACCGCCAACAAACCTGCGAATCTTTGCTCTTTCTGTCTTAACCATGTGAGGAGCATGCTTAGCCAACCTTATGAATTCCATGTAGTACTCTTGCACACTTCTATTCCCTTGCTTGAGCTGTTCGAACTCTGTAGCCTTAGCTTCCCTATCCTCTTCTGGGATAAAGTTAGCCATGAAGGCCTCTTCAAATTCTTCCCAAGTAGGCGGACCATCATCTTCATCTCTTTCATTTTCCCACATCTCAAACCAAGCGCCGACCACATCTCTAAGCCGGTAAGCATCCAGCTCCACAGCTTCATCATCAAATGCTTTCATCACTCGGAGAGCTTTCTTGACACCCTCCAGCCACAACATCGGATCTTCATCAACTATAGAACCATGGAACACGGGAGGACTCAACTTTAAAAATTCATTTACTTTTGAGGACTCAGAATTGTTCGGTCTATTTGATTGAGGTGGAATCTCATCTCTTCTCTCGTTCTGGTTGGCCATAAATGCTTTAAACATCTCCATAGCACTGTTGACTGCACTAAACATCTGACCCACATCTGGGGATTTAGTTGTCTGAGCTGGAGCTGCTGTTGGGGGCGGTACTGGATCCTGAGGTACTGGATCATCATGCTCCACCCCTTCTTCTTGTTCAACTCGGGGTACTTGGACTCCATTTGTAGATTTACCCTTCCTTTTCTAAGTTGAAGCCTTTTTAGTTCTGCCTTGAGCCACAATAGTAGCAATAGTTTCTTGAGCAGCATCCTGAGTGTCGGTGTCAGAGTTGCGAGTACGAGCCATTTCTGCGAGTTTTGGAGAAACGAATACATTAAATAATTTCTTAGAGGTAGGATCTACTGCACGATCTAAGGTATGACAAAATGAGATTTTTCCTAAATGCTTGTAGCCTCCTGTTTATAAGTATGGCGCGCTTCATACCCATAAACAAGACTCTACTAACACGGCTTCATAGACCCCTAGTACTCCATAAACCTGTGGCTCCGATACCAAGTTTGTCACGACCCATTTTCTAAACAAGCCGAGACCGGCACTCGATCACTAAACATGATCGAGCGAACCATCTCTGCTTATCAAATCTATTATAGCTCCAAACTTTATATGGAACAAGGCAATACTCTAACCAAATACTTTTGATTAATTCAAATGTTTAAACAAATCAACTCCAAAACTTTATTCGTAGTAACTACTGAATTACTGCTAAGTTATATATAAAAAAAAAAACATCTGAATCTCAACCCAATGACTATGTCTATGAAGCCTCTACTGATAAACTGACGCACTGCTCAGGACATGAGATTTCCTGGTCAGTTCTCTAAGTAACAAAGAAATAACTAAATAAAGATGACTCTAAAAAATACTCCACGAACAAAAGCGGAGCTCACCAACAACACTGGAAACGAAGGAAGTCCTAACTCGTAGCCTGCTCGCCTGCAAATCCGGTTCCTACGTTGTACCGCAGACCAACATAGGTTCCCAAAAGAGAACGTCAGTACCATCCATTGCACTCAGTGAGTCTCAACAACAGGGGGTGAAACTTTAATAACATATACATTATGAGCAAAGGTTCTAAATGCATGTAAGACATAAAGATTATAAGAATAATTCTAAATAATCGCATAATAGCAGTTTATGAATATTCTAAAAGAAATTCTTTTTTTTTCTTTCTTATAAAAAAATACTTCACTTTATACTTTGGGAGTTCCAACTATCCTGACTTAGTTCTGTCTCAGTCACCGTGTGATCGGCACGGGTTCGATCCCAACCTGATCGAATAGGCCCAATCCACGAGGTGCCACTCGCTTCATGGTTCTCAGCGCTCATGTATCAT